CTAGTGCCCCTTAGTGATTTTGGTGTATTGAAGACTTATAGGTTAAGGGACTAATGTGTTTGTGAGTGTACACAGGTCTATAAGTCTATGAGGAGTTTGATATTTACAGAGAAATTCGACCCCTAAAAATGAGGTTCTTCGACTGAAGACTTTGGATTTCTGAAGGCTTTTTGAAGATTTTGAAAGTGAAGAAATTGGTGCAATCATGAAGAATTGGTATTTATTCGAGGAACATGAAGCATGAAGACTTTTGTTTTTATAGTTTCATTTCTCTTTCTTGAGTCGTAGAAACACCGTACTGTTAAAGGGGGTCGAGGAAATACTAAGGAAAAATTTCCATGTGATGCTCAACTCAAAATCCTACACCTACCAATCCCTTCGAGTGAAGCCATTGGAAATCTCATACAGTTCAGTCATATTCTTTAGTGATAGAGACGAAGTTCTTCTGGTCTTTGAGGAATTTGTTCTGACTGAGGAGTTAGGAATTCACCAGTGTGGATTGCCTACACAGTGAGGAACATGGTAGCCCTGAGGAATTTGATACTCAAATTTCCAACCGTTTATGTGCCTTGTGCCAGCTGTCCCAAAATATCTACCCACCTAACGGTCATATCATTGAAGGGCATTTATGTCTTATCATATCGGGCTGCTCCCTAGGCTATAAATAGCCGCCCCCTGCAATCACTAGCTGGTTGGCTGCTCCGAGAGAAACTGACACTTGTCATTTGAGAGCATCCCATCCTCCGAGGACTTTGAGTGAAAATCATCAAGTGAGGAAAACCCAAACCCAAACACCTACAAACCCCAAGTGATTGAGCATCACTGAAGAGATTGATCCTACGTGGATCCGACGCTTGTTACCTTTGAAGACTGTGCTTCTTCCAGACGGTTGGGCGTCAAGGTCTAGAGAATCCAAGAGGAATTGTGGATCGCCAAGTGACCAAGTTTGTGAAGGTTCGGAAGTCACCCGAAGACTTACCATGAGTGATTGGGCGAGGTCTGTGTGATCTTAGCTCAAGGGGAATACGGTGAGGACTGAGTGTTCTGGACTGCGTGTTCAGAATTGGGTGTCCGGGATTGTGTGTCCTCAGGTTTAAATACCTAGCCGCCCTAACCAGATGTACAACTGAGACAGCAGTTGGAACTGGTCTACCAAATCATTGTCTTCACCAAGCTCACTGGTTCTATTTCCTCAACTCTTTCATTTTATCATAACTATGTTGAGTGCTTGTTGCTTGTTCATATCTGTGTTTGAAGACTTTGACTGAAGACTTACTCAAATTCCTCAGGTCAATTTCTTCAGTCTGTTTGTCTTCATCTTGTGTTATCCTGTGCTTACACTTTCTGTACTCTGTGCTTGTCTTCATTTCATCATGATGACTATGCTTGTGTTCTATTATGTTTACTTTTGAGTACTTATTCCACTGCTAGTAGTTCTTCGCTAAGGAATTTCCTCACCTGCAAATTCCTCAGTGAAGAATTCATAAAAATCGCCTATTCACCCCCCTCTAGTGGATATAACGCACTTTCAGTCGGGCATTGCTAGTGTTTATTCACCCCCCTCTATGCATACCCTTTCGATCCGACAAGTGGTATCATAGTTTTGATCTCCAGTGCTTTGGCTTTACCACCTCAGAGAAAGATGATTTTATCTACTTTGAGAAGTCTTAGGTGTAGAGTTCCTATTCTTAATGGAGAGTGTAGTTGGGGAACGCAGTATTTCAAAAAAAATTATACGATCACGCAATACCTAACTAGGAGAATAATAGCAACAAGGGGGGAGAGTGTGTCCATGTACCCTCGTAGACCGAAAGCAGAAGCGTTTAATAACGCGGTTGATGTAGTCGAACGTCTTCACGATCCAACTGATCCAAGCACCGAACGTACGGCACCTCCACGTTCAGCACACGTTCAGCTCGATGACGTCCCTCGATCTCTTGATCCAGTTGAGGCCGAGGGAGAGTTCCGTCAGCACGATGGCGTGGCAACGGTGATGATGAAGTTACCGGCGCAAGGCTTCGCCTAAGCACTACGGCGATATGACTGAGGTGTGTAACTGCGGAGAGGGGCACCGCACACGGCTAAGAGAAGACTTGGTGTGCCTTTGGGGTACCCCCTCCCACGTATATAAAGGGGGGAGGAGAGGTGGCCGACCCTAGGGGCGCGCCATGGGGGGAGTCCTACTTGGACTCCCGTTCCAAGTAGGATACGGTCCCCCCCTTTCCTATTCCAAGTAGGAGAAGAAGGGAAGGAGGAAGAGGAGAGAAGGAAGGAGGGGGCGCCGCCCCCACCCCTTGTCCAATTCGGACTGGCAAGGGGGGTGCGCGCCACCTCCTGGCCGGCCCTCTCTCTTCTCCACTAAGGCCCATGGTGCCCATTAACCTCCCGGGGGGGTTCCGGTAACCCCCAATACTCCGAAACTTATCTGAAATGACCCGAACCATTCTGGTGTCCGAATGTAGCCTTCCAATATATGAATCTTTATGTCTCTACCATTTTGAGACTCCTCGTCATATCCGTGATCTCATCCGGGACTTCGAACAAACTTCGGTTCATCAAAACACGAAACTCATAATACAAATCGTCATCGAGTGTTAAGCGTGCAGACCCTACGGGTTCGAGAACTATGTAGACATGACTGAGACACATCTCCGGTCAATAACCAATAGTGGAACCTGGATGCTCATATTGTCTCCTACATATTCTACGAAGATCTTTATCGGTCAAACCGCATAACAACATACATTGTTCCCTTTGTCATCGGTATGTTACTTGCCCGAGATTGGATCGTCGGTATCATTATACCTAGTTCAATCTCGTTACCGGCAAGTCCCTTTACTCATCTATAATGCATGGTCATGTGACTAACTCATTAGTCACATTGCTTGCAAGGATCATAGTAATGTGCATTACCGAGAGGGCCCAGAGATACCTCTCTGATACACGGAGTGACAAGTCCTAATCTCGATCTATGCCAACTCGACAAACACCATCGGAGACACCTATAGAGCATCTTTATAATCACCCAGTTACGTTGTGACGTTTGATAGCACACAAGGTGTTCCTCCGGTATTCGGGAGTTGCATAATCTCATAGTCTGAGGAACATGTACAAGTCATGAAGAAAGCAATAGCAGAAAAACTAAACGATCATTATCCTAAGCTAACGGATGAGTCTTGCCCATCACATCATTCTCTAATGATGTGATCTTGTTCATCAAATGACAACACATGTCTATGGCTAGGAAACTTAACCATCGTTGATTAACGAGCTAGCCAAGTAGAGGCACACTAGGGACACTTTGTTTGTCTATGTATCCACACATGTACTAAGTTTCCGGTTAATAAAATTCTAGCATGAATAATAAACATTTATCATGATATAAGAAAATATAAATAACAACTTTGTTATTGCCTCTAGGGCATATTTCCTTCAAGTGCTTTAACTTTTCGAAAGATGAGATGCTTAATATATTTGATGATTGCAACTTGAGTGAGTATATTCATCGTCCTTATGAACCCTCCATTGATCCCTTGCACCCAACCCCTAAAGAACCTAACATGCTTTGTAATTTGAGAACCGTAAATCTTTTTGTTAGAGGTCTTCCTAATCGTGCTCTTCATAGTATGAAAAAACTTGTATGTGCTTATACTTTGTAGAATGACTTAGAAAAACGACATCCAAATTATTCTCTTAAGAGATTCGATGAGAATCTACACAAGATTACCGTTTTCCGTAAGATCATCAAGCCCGATGATCCCAACTTTGATAAGTACTTTTTTGTACTTAGAGATCTTATTCTTGTTAGAGAAAATCCTACCACCCTTGCTAATATTATCACCAAAGCTATTCATATTCATTCTCTTGAAAAATGTCATGTTCATGCAACTAATGAGAATAATGATTTACGTGATCAAGAAGATGATGACATTGGTGAACATTGTTATTGTGATAAGAGCATTGACGATGATGATAAGGAGTATGAAAAGATATTGAGAAATCTTAGTCTCATGGTGAATGTTCGTAGAGATTATATGTTCGGTGGAAAGGAATGGATTCTTGGTTGTGGTTGCACCGATCACATGGCCGGCGACAAAGACATGTTCCGTGAGCTTGCTAACAATGATCGTCCACGCCAGTATGTGACTTTTAGAGACAACTCCAAGTACAACGTGCATGGCCTTGGTAAGGTGGGCATATCACATGATAGCTCACTCAAAAATGTTACATTGTCGAATCTCTTGGATACAGTCTACTTTTTGTATATAAACTTGCCGACTTTGATTTTAATGTTCTATTTACTAAAGTAGATTGTCAAGTTTTTTGTCGAGATAATAATATATGGTTTTCATCGATGTGCGCGTAGAGATGATTTATACATTGTTGATTTCACTAAAAAAAAAGAAACCTCACACATGTCTTATTGTAAAATATTCTAAAGGATGGTTATGATATAGAAAACTAGGACATGTTGGGACCTTGCAAATAATCTAATCAAAAGGTGATCATATTCTTGGTGTTAAAAATGTTACCTTTGACAAAAAATAGACTTTATAGTGTTTTTCAAGCAGAAAAAGTTGCCAATGAAAAATATCAATGCTACGAGGAGACCACTTAAACTAATCTTTTTGGTCCAAATGCTTACACTGGTACTCGCATTTTCCTGCATTTATTTCAGGCCTTTCGGTGTTGTGCGTTTAATGGGAGGAGACGTTCTCGTTGATCACAAATGTGTACGTGGCCACTTTGTCATACCAGGCCGTTTTCTCGAAGATGCTCATAGGGATATGATGTATGTATATGCGTTTATACTTTATATAGAGATAGATGTACGTGCGTATGTTTTTTATAGGGATGAGTGGATGTGCGTATGTATTGGGTTGAGAAAAAACGAGATGATTTTTATGAGACGACTGATAGTCGGCCCAATTACCGTTGATGAAGCTCAGTTGGCAGATACAACCAGATCAACGGGTGTGATCTCTTCTCTGCATTCCCAAATGTCCCTCGTCCGCCGCCGCCTCCTCTCCACCGCGGCGGCGGTTGCCGCTGCTCGCGGCCCACCGCCGGTTCGCGTCGCCTTGACGGACTCAGCCGGCCGTGGAGTCTTCGCTACCCGCCCCATCGCCAACGGCGAGGTCCTCCACTCGGCGCAGCCTCTCGTCACCCATCCGTCCCGCTCTCTCTTCCACGAGGTGAGCGCGCCCCCACTTGCTTCATATTGGCTACGAATGGAGCGAACTATATCGGATTGGTCTCCTCAGGTGTGCTACCGCTGCCTCAGGAGGAAAGCGGGGAAGGGCGGCGACTCCAGAGGGGACTGCTACTTCTGCAGCGACGCGTGTCGGGAGCATGCCGAGGTGAGGATGCCTTTGCACTGTTCCTCCTGCAGATTCAGTAGGTTTTAGTGGTTTGTACAGTTCCAGTAAGGACAGTCTATGCTACCTTGTTCTTCTGTGAGCAATGACTTTAGTCTTCACATTATTCTGAATAAAGAGATTGAGATATGCCATGACCGCTTAACTTTATTTTATGATGCTTCTTCGACTGTCAGACGGATAAAAGATACCATTGCTAATTCCGCTTCTTTCGGAAGAGCAAAATTACTGTCTCTTTTAGCGGCTAAGATGTGTGGTTTCATCCTGTTTAGGGATTCCATGGCATTGAAAAGAAGGCGGATTGGTCTTTGTTAGATGACCACTGTAGGTATGTTTGTTACTACATTTCATCTTGATGTTGATGTGCATCTCCTGACTTCTCTCTAATAACGTTGTCAGTTATATTCGTTTTGTTATTGTTACGATATTGCCGTTTTGCTTGACATTCGATTGTCAGTGTAGCATCCTGGCTTATCTGTCTTTATTCTTGTGTGCTCTGAAGTTCACGTGGTCTCAAGTACCCATACATGGTCAAGCGGCTAGCTTGCATGGTTATATCAGGAGATGTTGGTGCAGATTGTCTTGACATTCTTCAGCCAGCCCAATTGCACCAGGGTACACTTATTGAGGTAGCCCTTTTTTGCGAGCTGTCGAGCTAGTTTTTTTTACTGAGAATGGAGTTGATTTTTTCTTATGCTTCATATGTCCATCTTCACAGCTGTAACTATTATCATCGCAGAAAAAAGAATGTCATAGCATTCACATGTTTCTTTCCCTATGTTGTTGTACGGTTGGTCCTGACATGGATATAATTGGAATATAATAGATGGAAGAGGAGTTTGAATTGTTGAAGTCCACTTTTAGGAAGGCAGGGTTTCAGGAAGAACTCACAACTTGTATCCTTTTATATCTTATTTCACCCTCTCTATCATTTGGTTTTCCTGGAGTTTCTTTGACAGTATTAGTTTTGACCAAACAATGGTACATCAATGTACTTGCAAGAATACGTGTAAATGCATTCCGTATTGAATTGGTTGCAAGTTCATATGAGGATCTTCTATCCTCAGCAGTAGCGTCGGTAACATGTGATGCATCAGTTGGCAATGCTGTATATATGCTCCCCTCGTTCTACAACCATGACTGTGGTATGGCTCTTCACATGCTCCTGTTAACGGGAAAAGGGGATATTAATATTTACCATAATGGCTCTCATTATGACTTCTGAAGTTTTTATTTGAAAGCAAGGATATGACTTCTAAAGTTCTTATTTGAAAGCAAGGATTTAACTGCTGCATTTCCTTGTGACGTAGAATTTGTTGTTGTCTGTTGTGGCATATGAAGTGTTGATTGTGCTGTCTGAGTTTTCAGTATTATTTCAGTACTATGCAACTCCAAGTTATATCCACTAATCACTAATGTACTACTACCTCCGATCCATAATAAGTGTCGCAGTTTTGAACTAACCTTAGTTTAAAACTGCGACACTTATTTTGGATCGGATGGAGTATTTGTTTGCTTTCATTGCACTCGATGATGAAATACCTATATTGTTTTACATTCGAAACAAGATGAATTATCTTCCAATTGATGCATTAGAAAGAAGATTGCTAGTATAATGGTGACACACAACAATGGATGTAATTCCATCCTATAAGCAGCGATTTTTCTACTTGCTTGGGTATCACTTCCCTTTCTTTTCAAATTCAAATCCAAATATTCATATTCTTTTCCTGTCAACTTGCAGATCCAAATACTCACATAGTTTGGCTTGAAAACGCAGACGCTAAATTGACGACCCTTCGTGATATTGACGAAGGTATAGATAGGTGTAGCAGTACCTATGTAGCCTTTGTTCTCTTGACAACAGTTAAAGCAAAAACACTGATGGGTACCAATATCTTAATGCTGCTCTTTTGCATCTGTCATAGGTGAAGAGCTGCGCATCTGCTACATTGATACAAGCATGGATGTGAACGCCAGGCAGAAGATTCTCACTGAAGGATTTGGCTTCCAGTGCCGTTGCCAACGGTGCTTATCTGGGGACTAAAATTCATCGTTTACCTTAATGGTCGCTTCCCTCGACGTGCGTGACATCAGTTTCTGCTATGGTTCATTTAATTCACATAAGGTCGCCGACCATGAGGACTGCACCTCTGCATCTGATGAAGCCAGTAGGCGCCAACACTTGCAGGTTCCTGTATCAAGATATGCCCCCAGTGTGAAGTGAACTGGTAGAGTCCAAATACTAAACATTATTGATTAATACTACTTAATAGACAGTTTTATAGGTTGCCGTTGACCAAGTGCTAAAGATTGTAAGTTGACATTGTAAGATCATTAGGTCTTTGTTTAATGCCATTGTTGAAGTTTCACACATGTATTCAATCTTGATGCATTCGCTATATACTTCTGTCAAAGCTACCATGAGTTTTTCTTTTTTCAAAGGAAAGCTACCATCAGTTGTTTCTGAAAGAAATCTGTCTTCACATCCTCATTTCTTATGCAGGTTAAACATGAACAGTGAACCTGTTGAGCTATCTATGATGTGGAGAAAGAAGAATCAGTTAAAACATAATAAGTTCAGTTCCCTGGATAATAGGCAAACATAATATTTTAACTTCAACTGTACAGTGTCCTTTTGATTTGTAATGTTAAGATAGTTCAATCACTATCCTTCCAATTTGCAGAGAGCAGCTTCATCGTCGCTCCTGTTTTCAGTTTAATTTAATGATCAGTTGATGAATGGAATTGATTTTCATATTAACAGTTCTGTAGCTCCCACTCTCTACATACTTTTAGAGTTTCATTGACCCCGACAAACTGAGACATTGGGGAAACATGGGCCGCCTGCACATTTTCTAGTTATGCTTTCTGGGAAGATGTACTCGTCGAACTGAGGATGTCCGGCTCATACCGTGCCGAATTTTGTACACCAACAGTTGATACATACAGGTCTTTAAAAATGGTCAGTATAGTCCTAGTTAAGCAAGTTCAGCAATCTTATACGACACAGCAAGTCACTCAGAGAAGCACCAGAACATTGCAGCTATTTTACTCGAAATACCTCAAGACTCCGCAAAAGAAAGGCTTGCATAATGTTTATTTATTTAATTATTTTTATGGTAACATTATTCCCTTGATGATTGTGTCACCAACTTATTTTGTTTCTCTGTTTACATGATTCAGAAATAATTTGCAAGGATCAACAACCAAGCTTGTCCCAGTTGCATGCTCAGTTCAGGAGTCCAGATGCTCGGTAGGATTCGACGCTGTCCCCCAGGGTCTTCTCTACAGGCCTGAAGGTCCACCCTAGCTTCTGAAGTTTCTCTGAACTATAAACAAGATTTCCTTCCACTTCCGTAAAGCTACATAGAAATTTGGAGAGAAAAATAAGTTTCATCCAAGCTAAGCATGGAAAAGCAGGGGTGAAGGACACACATCGAGCAGCATTTGGTGATATGGTGAAACAACATTGGTTCATTAAAATTTTAAAGTCCATATCACAAACTACATGCTCACTGGCATGGATATGATTCTAGGAATGTGAATCTCTATTAGGCTTTAGTCAATTTGTCAATCCCCGTTCAAGTACTTGAATTCTACAATTAGTAATATCAGGAAAGACAAATGGATGTTGAATTCTTCTAGTACCTTTTCGAAGTGAACTGAAGGTTATTTATCCTTCCTTCTTAGGCAGTGCCAACTAACTCATGATATGTAGAACTAAAATAGCCATAGCGCTGGTAAGGTAAAAAAAGTTGCCTGCTGAGGAAGGCGCTTACCTTTTGGGATATGTGTAGGTTGGATACAAGGTCTTCAGTATGTTAACCATATCACAGACTTTTATTGCAGGTGCATTACATATGTACCGTCCGGACATCTCTGGATTCTCATACGCCAGAAGAATAGCATCAGCAACATCACGAACATCCACTATATCCCTGCTTTTATTTTCTACAGTATCATGTTCTCCTGCAAAAAGATAAGTGTTTTAGTAATACAGAAACAGAATTATAATCCTAAACTAGTTTGGTGAACAGCTTCATTTTTTTTGAGGGATGGTGAACAGCTTTATTTTAATGATATGCAGTTATTTTTTGCAATTTAGTATCTTTTTTTACCATGTGACACATGTGGTAACAATTCAAACAATTCAAATAAATAAGTAGTATCCTTTTTTTCAGTTGGAAAATGTGCAACCGAGTGCAGAGATCCTTTTTGATGTCCATAATTTTTATAGTATAATGAAAGCAAAGAGAAGACAGACATAACAACATAACACACCCACCTTTCAAATAGTTAAGGAGAATTTTACTGCTTGAATTTATTGTAGACTGCATCAAGGGTCCAATTACCAATGATGGGCATATAGTTACAATGTCCAACCCAGTTTTTGCTGCATAAGCAAAAGCCTCGCGCTCCGCCAGTGTTTTGGAAAGGTAATACCAATCCTGTCAAATAACAACACATGTTTGTTTTGAATGGGTGATCCAGAAAAAAATTATCTTTTATAAGAATAACAAGACAGGAGCAGTATCTTGTGTGGTTAGCGGAAGAATTTTGTATTAACCTAAAGTTGTGTTATGACCGGCATATTAGGGGCTTAGCCCAGTGGGTTGTGGCTCAAGTTATCTTATTGTTATTAGGGGTTTAGCCCAATTATCTTATCGTTATTAGGGTCGTTTGCTTAGGAGTCAAGTAAACCTCTTTATATAAGGAGAGGAGATGTATCAATCTAATCAAGCAAGAAGCAATCATTATTTGCTCGGCTTCCCTTAGGGAGCCGGGAGACCTAACCCTAGCCGCCTCTTGCGCCGCCGCCGCCTCTTCTCCACCACGCAAGGACGGCACCCAGCCGCCGGCCGCCGCGCCCTCGTCCTCGTCTTCCTCCATCTTTTCCCTACAATCTCCGCCCTAGAACCGGCAGAACCTAGCTCCTAACACCTTGGTATCAGGTAGCTCAGTTTCGATCATGTCTTCGCCGCCGCCCATCCCGTCGCTTCCGCTGCCGACCGTCACCACCACGCCGCTGGCCTTCTCCACCGCGCCGCTGGTCGCATCCTCCGGCGCCGCCACCACCCAGATGACGGCGCCCTCCACCGCACCACCGACCGCCGCCTACACTCCGGAGGAGATCACCGGGGTCCTCAACGATCTCGTCACCGTTGTCAAGGGGATACAACTATACCTAGCCGGCACCTACGGGCCGCCGCCGCCCTTGCCGCCGGCCGCCGCGACCTGGCCAGCCGCCCTGCCGTGGTATTCGGCACCCGCAGCGCCGACCGGTCCTATACACCACCACTGGCCGCTTCAGCCGCCGTCCGCCGTCGCGCCCCAATGGCCGCAGTGGCCGGCGCCGGCCCTCGCTGCGTCACCCACGCCACCCGGGTCCTCGC